AATGTATATCGTTTCTCACTCTTGATTTATTTATTTTAGTTTTTGTATTTATTTATGGTTATTATTATTAATATATTTATATATTTTTTTATTAATTATTATAGTAATGATAATAATAATAGTTATTATTATTATTATTAGTGTATATAATAATAATAATAATAATAATATTATTATTATTATTATTATTATTATTATCATTATTATTATTATTATTATTATTATTATTATTATTATTATTATTATTATTATTATTATTATTATTATTATTATCATCATCATTATCATCATCATCATCATCATCGCCCCCCAGGCCCTGATGTGGGTCAGTGACAGCTAATGCCCGTAAAAAAAAATGTACAATGGCACTCTTATAATACTGTTCAGTATAGCTACTGTACCTGTACAGTACATTGCTGTACAGGGGCTATATTGAAAGATGTAAAATAACCTCAAATTCTTGCCATTGCTTGAAATTTTTAGTTCCTGATTTGGAAGAAATAGTAAGATTGTTGCCACCAACAAGGTGTCCTACTTGTAACCAGTTGCTCATTGTTTTTTGTGCTTAGTTCATTAGCCTTGAAGAAACAAGTCTATACAGTACTGTATACTCATGATACTGTGTCAAGTGCAATTCTTAACTTTATTTTTCCATTTGTGTGGAGACATTTTTGAATGGAAACTGTTGAATATTTTATATTTTAGCATACAGGTATATTCATTGATTAGTTAAAAAAATTTTGACAAATGTTTAATTATTTCTAAGGTCTTAACAAAACACTTGTTTGTTTCATGAACATTTGTACAGTACAGGTATTGCTTAGCACTAGCAGTCATACCAACATGACGGGTTACAGAAGGGGTGGGGGGGAGACCATCACTGCATTTATACAGCTTCTTTGTGAACCTGAAGCAAGCAAAGCAACTGTCACCCACTGCTTGAGCCAACAGAGGTGGTGTGTGAAGTGGTGTAACTATGTTTAATTATTATTAGTGTCTCGTGGATAATACAAAAGGCACAGAATACAGTAATTCCATCTGCCACATGCATGTACAGTAACTTTGGCTTATACAGTACTGTATGTGCATCTGTTAGATTCCAGCTGCAGGTATGTTTTGTAATGCTATACAGTACAGTATTGTTGAGATCAGCTGAGAATTTAGTGAAGGTTAAAGGTGGAGCATTGTCATTAAATGGTGGGACCTATATTGTGCTGTAATGTTTGTGGAAATTTGAAATGTGTTTTTTGTGTGGAACTTTTTATTTTATTATTATTAATTAATTTTTTAATATGATAAAAATTTGTTTCAAGACCTTTTGCATCCTGTCAGATCTCATTAATGAATGGAACTCCTACTTGAGTTCATGAGTCACTCAATAGTTTGAGGGAAGTAATAGAGACAATCCTGTGTTAATCCATGATTGTTCATCTGTACAGGGATTTATTTTTATATCTTGGTTGTGCATCTGGAAAATCCTTGGCATATTCAAGGGGTATGATGTACCCCAGGTTGAGAACTTAAATATATATGTTCTGCACTAAAATGTCATGGTCCCTGAGCTACCAAGGAACTGCAAGTTACAATTGAGGCATTCATTTAGTGAAGGGTGAACTCTTCACTCTCCCAAAAAGCATTTTCTATGATACCAGAAAATTTCCTCCATTCTCTATGTAATGGTGAGGTCTCTACAGTGAAAGTTTGCCCTTATCCATGTGTAAATTGCCATTAGTTTTGAGGGGTGGAATGGACATGTGACTCCACGGAAAAGAAAACCGCGGTTACTCAAAGTATCGATTTGGCTAGTTTGCCCTTATCAGCTGTTCCTACATCATTTCAAAGCATTTGGAGTGTTTGGGGGAATGAGTAACAGTGTCAATAAACCAGCACCTAACAACCAGAAATTGGTGGATTATCAGCAGTATACCACCGAACTTCCAATCTTAGGGGAGTTTTATTCATTGGAGGAACGTGACAGGATGGGAAAAAGTTTAAGTACAGTAGTGTATATTTCTGATCATGTACAAAATAAGAAACAATCATTATCATCTGCTTACCTCATGCAAGTGTGGATACTGGCTGTATAACAGTGATGATGATGATTAGTGTAAGATGGTGACAGATGAATTTTGCCACCAAATGTAATTGTAATCACAGACTACAGTAGTGTTATCTTATATGACAAAGTGCTTTTAACTTACAATGTTTTATTGTATTTTTGACACTTAACTATTGTACTGTACTACTGTATTGTATTTTTGACACTTAACTATTGTACTGTACTACTGTATTGTATTTTTGACACTTAACTATTGGACTGTACTACTACTTTTATCAACAACTTTTCTGATGCTCTGATAATTTCATATGGTGTTTTTTATTTTTTTTTATTTATTTTTAGTAAATTGCTTAATAATTTCATATATCTATACTGTATACAATACTAATTTGATTGTGATTTGTTTGTAATAGTGGGTAATTATCACATCCCAGTTTTGTATATCCTTTCCCCTGTGATGCTTTCTTGTTTAAGTGCAATGAGTACAAATACTGCTACAGTAGTAGTAGTTAAGAAACTACAGTTCAGTATAATAATTCAGGGGGATGTCAGTGATGCCAGCACCTTTTTGGTCAAGTAGGATTTGGCTCCCACTCCTTTATAATACAGTATATGTCTTCAGTGTACCTGTATTTATGTCCTATCTCTGGCTGTGAGTCAGAGTAGGGAGGGAGGTGATACGTATCCATGTTCAAACTTTTAGTTTTTCAAGTGTTATTCTTTACCTAGTTTCATGTAGCATGTTGTTTGGTGTTTTGGTGGATGGCTAATTGTGTTTCTTACTAGTGGTCATCCATGTTTTTGTTTGGTTGGCTAGAGCCTGTTTAGTTTAGCAGTGTTGATTTTTATTCAAATCAGAATAAGTACAGTATGGATCCCTTTGGGTATTTGAAGTAAATTTTTATAAACTTGTACAGTTAGGTTTTTGTATCTAGGGCTTTACATTATGAAGGTCTTTAATAAGGGACAAGTTGTGCCTTTCAGCCTCGAAGAACCAAATTACTGGGGCCAGTGTTTATCCTGATACTGTATACAGCTCACTACTAGAGAAGCATTTGGCATTTAATTTTTGAAGTCAGTCTTTGAGAACTACTGTACTCTGCTTTTTCTCCTTTAGCGGGATGTGTCACATTAGCAGTTGGAGCATTTGTAGTACAGTACTGTACTGTCAACTTCCATCACCTAGCTTGTGTAATTAACATGAGTGATCTGACTGATGGAATTAGGTTGTAAAGGGAGACTGTTACTGTACAAGGTTGTCTGGTTACCTTCCCTCCTAGTAGGTAAGAAATTTACAGGGAAGTGAGAACTGGTTCCAGAAATGTAGTACTGTACAATATGGCTTACATGACAGGCTTGGCAAATTAGTGTAGTGACTGATTAGCATCCTACTGTACTGTACTTTAAATAGGGATTGTCTCAATTCTCCCTTTTGAACTGTGTTGGTTGCAATTGGAGGTAAGCAAAATGTTAGATTTGTTTTCAGCCACTAATGTCATGATGTATGGTCCAAAGGCCATGTGAGTGCCTTACTGTATATTTCTCTAACTTCAGTACAGTTGTCAAGTGAGATTTCAGGATGTTCCATTTTTCCTTGGTTCAAGACAAAAACAAAATTTGGTTATGATTGAGCGCAAAAAAAAAAAGACAGTACAGTACCTGTACTGTAGTTTTTAAAAATCTTACTGGAACAGTTTTGGGGATGGAAGCTTAGACTTGTGGATGTACACAAGTGAATTTATATTCTGCCAGCATATACAGTGGGGACCTGCTAATTTTACAGCCTACAAGAATTTTTTGGTCCAAAATCTTGTTCACACAGTTTTTGGGACAACACAGATGAGCATGAGCAAAGCAATAATCCCCTGTACAGTACTGTATGGATTATGGTGTGGTACCATGATTATTATGACCAAGTATACTGTAATATTGTACTGTACAGTACTGTATTTCATTTTACTTTACTTAATGTGAGAAATACTGAAATAAAAAAAATCCATAGATTTTGTTTATTTACAATGATTCATGAGTACTGTGCAGTACATTACAGTATTGTACTGTACTGTATCTCATAACATGACTTATAGCTTGTTAATGGGATGTAAACTTTTGGCATTTAAAGAAATATAAAGAAACATTGTAGTGTACTGTGTTCCGGTGTGGGACTTGCACTGACATGATAAACATACAGTTGTATAAAGTGATACTGTACTCTCCTGACACTGCTGTTTTGAGGTTTGATGGATAGTTGCATTATATATTTTGTGCCATCTTGACCCTGTGTGATAACCTATAATGTTTGATCACCAATTGTGTAGGCAGTGAGGTAGGATGTAGTAGTATTATGTAACCATTTTTCTTATTGAAATTTTAGAAACAAACTCAGTGACCTGGTACTTTGAGCTAACTTTCTTACCATAATTTTTATTTTATTTTAGCAGACATATTGTGATACTTTACTGTAATTTCTAATGCTTATAAAGAGTTAGAGTGGGAGTGTGTGTGTGTGTGCAATGTGCATGCATTTTTTTTTGACAAGTTTAAAAAGAAACCTGCAGCAATAACCTTGCCAATTAAAATACTTGTTGGGAAAAATGGGGCTGAAAATAGTGGGTAAACATTCTGCTTCACATGCAAAGATTTACACATTTTTAAGTGTACAAATGCTGCAGGTCTACTTTGAAACACAATTTTGGGGAAGCAAATGAACTTGCTAAATACAGTATTGTATCAGATAATGTTTTTAAGTATATACTGTACTGTACAGTACTAACATAGTTTAGAAAAATCATAAGTCAGTATCTAAGGGTCAAGTGGGCTTGGGGAAGGACTTTGTAAAAGGGAATTGTACAGTACAGTAGTTATGTGAATGTCTTTTCCATGTGTTTGTATCCGTATGTCCATGACACCAAATTTCACCACACTTCTCTACTCATTGCAGAGACCGATAAATTTCTTCATAAGGGACCAATCAAGGTAAAGTACCCAAATATTTATCTCTACATTAATTTGTAACACTGAGGTTATGGTTTATGCTGTACAGTACATGAATTAACTGTTTATGGGAGTTAATCTAATTTAGGAATTCTTTATAATTTGTCATTTGGTTTTTGTAAGAAGGGGGAAGATTTTGGTCTTGATAAAAAAATACTTTTGGCCCCTTTCCACTTTTTTTTTCCTTCTCAAACTGTCTAGTGGCAGTTTTATCACCCTCATCGCTTTAATGCCGCTTCCCATGTTTGAGTGGGTTAACCATATACTGTACTGTACTTGTAGTTAGTTGACAAGTATTAGTTACTTTATCTGGTGTTTATTGTGAAATTATTGTGTACCTGGTTAGTGTCATATATTTCACCATATCTTGTACTCTTCTTTTAGAACCTTTTGTGCTTCTGTTATTTGGAAATGACGGGAACCTGAGCTGACATTCTTTTGATCTATGGAAGCGTAGACCCATAGAACAAAGGTTACGTCCATTAGAATATTAAAATTCAGTTTACTCGTTGACATTGAACTGTTGGGAGAAGCTGGAGTGTATTGTTAGTGGCTGGAGTTACACGGTATAGATTGTCAATATCTTTTGAATCGGGACACACACACACACACACACACACACACACACACACACACACACACACACACACACACACACACACACACACACACACACACACACACACACACACACACACACACACACACACACACACACACACACACACACACACACACACACACACACACACACACACACACACACACACACACACACACACACACACACACACACACACACACACACACACACACACACACACACACACACACACACACACACACACACACACACACACACACACACACACACACACACACACACACACACACACACACACACACACACACACACACACACACACACACACACACACACACACACACACACACACACACACACACACACACACACACACACACACACACACACACACACACACACACACACACACACACACACACACACACACACACACACACACACACACACACACACACACACACACACACACACACACACACACACACACACACACACACACACACACACACACACACACACACACACACACACACACACACACACACACACACACACACACACACACACACACACACACACACACACACACACACACACACACACACACACACACACACACACACACACACACACACACACACACACACACACACACACACACACACACACACACACACACACACACACACACACACACACACACACACACACACACACACACACACACACACACACACACACACACACACACACACACACACACACACACACACACACACACACACACACACACACACACACACACACACACACACACACACACACACACACACACACACACACACACACACACACACACACACACACACACACACACACACACACACACACAGAAGGGATGTTGGTGTCCCAGTTTTCTTGGAACCCTTAATTGAATAATGTGTGTCCCAGTGCTATTTAAGTTTTGATATTGGGATGGATTTTAGGGATGGGACGCACTGCTGATGGGTGATGCTAAGGTTGTGAGGAATGGCGGGAGTAAACCAGACATTTGGGGCCTTAAATAGCCTCGTCACAGCTGTAGGAATGAATGGAGTCTGTATTTGCTGTAGATCCTGTTAACTTGCATTTTTACAGGAAAAGGATTAAAAAAAAATGGACAAAGATAAATGTTATCCTGTATTGTATTTTAGTCCCGGATGGAGAAACCTTGACATGTTACCTCTTTCCTTCTGTGTTGAGGAGTTTTAACATATAAGATTCAATGTAACAGTTTCAGTTGGATTAACTCTATATTTGGAAGACGACTAACCCTCACTTACAGATGCTTAAATTACCCGAGTGCAGTATTATTACTCAATACACATCAAGATCACATCTGAAGATCAAAGTACAGAACTCTTAATGAACCATAACACTTGTAACAGTAGTTTATTAGATGTATTTTAATAAGAATTCACAAGGATATGTCATCCTTAGACAAAGAGCTGATTACTGAAGTGAACACCGTCAAAGATAAGGTGAGGGTAAAATTTTTTGCTATACTGTAGTGTTTTTCTTTTTTTTACACATTGTGAAAAAAGTTAGTTGTGGAAAACACCCACTCTGTTAAATTGTCTTAAAACACCATAAAATGCTACAAAACATTTTTAATTAAAATTTTTGGTATACTGTACAGTATAATGAAAGACAAAAGTCGTGTCGTGATATTTGGTGAAAACATATGCTGAAGGGCTAAACTTTTGGTGCGCTCCGCCTTGTGGTAGGGGCTCTCGTAATGTTTCACGAGTTATATTTAATTTTCGCACAAAACCGCATCACGACTTTTGTCTTCGATTACACACAATGATTATAAACCAGTAATAAACATATAAGTGATATACAGGCAGTACCATAGAGAACAGTGATCATTGATGTGGGGAACTGGATGAGAGTGGGAAAAAGTGAACAGTATCAAACACTAAGCCAATATCTGTACAGTAAATATTATAAGCACTTACAGAAGACATTCTAACCACCATTTATATCCGGTAAAACTCTTACCTGTATGATACTGGTGGTGTGTTTGTTCGTATTTTTGTCTTTCCATTTAACATTTTACTCTATTCTGTCCACTAATTCCTGGGGGGAAAAACAACTTTGAATAAGTAAAAATACTGGTGCTAAAAAAACCCCAGTGTATTTTTAGTATATTTTCATTAACAGTACAGGGTACATAAAAAAAAACCGAATACCCTGTACTTAATTTCTTTGTAATTTCTTAGTTTTCGTTTGTAAATCAAAACATGGGACCCCCAAAAAATTTAACTTAGAATTTTTGTAATCATAGCATCATAAAACGGGATCACATGACAAGTGCAAAACACCAAAATCAAATGAGCGTTTATAAGGTCAAGGTCACTGCATATATAGTTACAAGTCTGACAAATTGTTCAGATAATAACTCTTTTTGTCAATACATATATTTTTAATTAAACTTCATAAGTGTATTGCCACCAGAGTGTAGCACATCAAATTAAAGTTTGTGTGACACTGATCGAGGTAACTGGAAGGTTGAAGGTCGGAAAGCCTGTCCTTGGTGTAACTTTTGTGTCCACGTACATAGTTGGGTGAAAATACTAAGGGTTATGTCATTGCTAGACAAGAGTGTGTAATAGTTAGTGTTTTGTCTGAGTTGTGTTACTGACGTGAATGACAGATATAGTACAGTAATTGTTTAGCAGGGTCGTGTGTGCTCGTGGAGACTTTCTTGTTTCTATAGATCTCGTGCAGTATTTATTGAATGAATTTTTTATTTTATTTTAGGTAGTATTTTGTTACTTCTTTTCCAAGCAATTTATTATAGTAATTTATCGATATTTGATTTGTTTGATCTCTCATTTTGAATAATTTTTATATTTTATTGATTTCTGATTATTTTCTAGTACATTATTTATCATTAATTATTTAATAGTCTGCACTCTTAGTTTTGGTACCTGTAAAAGGGACTAATTCCATAGTCAGGCCAGAAGCATCACCAGCTGTTTACACTGCCCTGGGTGATGGTGGTGCTCCTCTGGGCTCTGTGTTGCTCTTCAAAGACTTGTCCTGTTGCTTGTGATTTGTGTGAGTGTGAGAGTGAAGGAGGGAGGGAGGAACTTGACAGGGGAGGAAGAGAGGAGCTGGCAGGGACGGGGGAGGAAGAGAGGAGCTGGGAGGAGGGGAGGGAGAGGGAGCTGGCAGGAGGGGGAGGAAGAGAGGGAGCTGGCAGGAGGGGAGGAAGAGAGGGAGCTGGGAGGAAGAGAGGGAGCTGGGAGGAAGAGAGGGAGCTGGGAGGGAGCTGGTAGGGAGGGGGAGGGAGGGAGTGAGTTGGAAAGGGAGGGTAAGAGAAGTTAAAATGTACATAGAGTCAGGTAGTGAGCATGTGTTCACCTTTATTTTCTTTCAAACCTGGATTTTATTTTTTTATTTTCTGCCGTGATAAAATTTCTGTTGACTTTGACCTCTCTCCCCTCTCGTGCCTTGTCTCTCCCCTCTCGTGCCTTGTCCTCTCCCTCTCGTGCCTTGTCCTCCTCTCTCCCTCCTTCCTCTTTCCCCTCTCGTGCCTTGTCCTCCTCTTTCCTCTGTGCCTTGTCCTCTTCTTTCCCCTCTCGTGCCTTGTCCTCCTCTCTCCCCTCTCGTGCCTTGTCCTCCTCTCTCCCCTCTCGTGCCTTGTCCTCCTCTCTCCCCTCTCGTGCCTTGTCCTCTCTCCTCTCGTGCCTTGTTCTCCTCTTTCCCCTCGTGCCTTGTCCTCCCTCTCTCCTCTCTCGTGCCTTGTCCTCCTCTCTCCCCTCTCTGCTTCCTCTCTCCCTCTCGTGCTTTGTCCTCCTCTCTCCCTCTCTGCCTTGTCCCTCTCTCTCCCCTCTCGTGCTTTGTCTCCTCTCTCCCCTCTGCTTTGTCCTCCTCTCTCCCCTCTCGTGCTTTGTCCTCCTCTCTCCCCTCTCGTCCTTGTCTCCTCTCTCCCTCTCGTGCTTTGTCCTCCTCTCTCCCTCTCGTGCCTTGTCCTCCTCTCCCCTCTCGTGCCTTGTCCTCCTCTCTTCCCTCTCGTGCCTTGTCCTCCTCTTTCCCCTCTCGTGCCTTGTCCTCCTCTTTCCCCTCTCGTGCCTTGTCCTCCTCTCTCCCCTCTCGTGCTTTGTCCTCCTCTCTCCCCTCTCGTGCCTTGTCCTCCTCTTTCCCTCTCGTGCCTTGTCCTCCTCTCTCCCTCTCGTGCCTTGTCCTCCTCTCCCCTCTCGTGCTTTGTCCTCCTCTCCCTCGTGCCTTGTCCTCCTCCTCCCCTCTCGTGCCTTGTCCTCCTCTCCCTCTCGTGCCTTGTCCTCCTCTCTCCCCCTCTCGTGCCTTGTCCTCCTCTCTCCCCTCG